TTACAGCGTCTGAAATGAAGACGCTGTTAAATTGAGGTAAAGCGTTACTGCGGATTATTTTCTGATCGTTATAGAATCTTGTTAACGTAGTTCTTCCATCCACAAATATACATATATATACACATATAATTTTATCGTCCGAAAAAGTTTGAAATATTTCATATGCTTTCTTGCTGTGCCCTTATGCACATTAATTTGCTTTGTTTTTGTCATATTTTTTTTTATTTTTATTTCCCACTTTTTGCACATTTTTTAAAAAGTTACTTCACTCGTCCTGTTATTTCAGTGTCTCCTGAATCGAATATCTTGTGAAACAAGTATATTTTCGGCGGTTAAGTGTTGGAGAATTTTTTTTTTTGAACTGCAGTATCGCTTCATAGTATTCGAAAACGATTTCCATTGTGGTTTTTGAGGACGAAATTATTTATTGATCATATTCCGCTATGAGCGAGCTTGACCAGCTCCGGCAAGAAGCGGAGCAATTAAGGAATCAAATCAGGGTAAGTGAATTTCTTTTGCTACAATTATGTTGTGACAGCTGGGACTAGCAGATGAAGTTGTCTTCTTGAGCGCTGAAACCTGATTGTTATTTTAGTTATTTTCTACCTGTAGGACATGTGACTATTGTATTCCAGTATATCAGAAAAGTCGTATGCCTGTAAATTACGTAGTTCATGTTTTTTTACACTGATAAGCACTAGATTCTTTTTTCAAATTGTTTATCTGAGATGGCGCGGATTTATTCATTGGCAGCGAAAAGTTTTTTTTCATTAATTAGAAGCTCTAGTGCCAAACAGTTCTCTGACAGACTGTTTATTTTTAAATTAGAAATGCGTATTTGATAAACTTTTTTGAAGGTGAAATCTTTTTTCATTTTTTTTTTTTTCTTGAAGAGCAGTTTTCCTTCTGGTTTACTTCATTTGGTATTGAAGGTCTAAACTTTCTAAATTCACAGTTGGTTCAAATTTGATTCTTAAATTATGCTAATTTTTTAACAAGGATTTGGAAGGAAAAGATTTTTTTACCAACGTTCTTTTTGCAAGACTTTTATATTAGGAAACGGTTGGCGAAGTCTTCTGTTCTGTGACTTTCGATACATGAGTCCCGTAATTTTGGGTCAGTTTTTTTATTGGGTTTCTTTGAAAAGTTTGACTTTTTAAGGCCAAGGGAAATAAGGGCAGTTTTTGACGGGATTAGTTTGTGCTTCTTTTGTCACTTGTTACATGTCCTCTGTCTCGTTAAAATTTTGCAGTATTCAAAAGGCATCGTTTGCATGATAATATCAGTCCCTCTTTATTCTCTTCTCCATTTCTTCAATTTCTTTCTCTTTATTTCGTAGAAACTTGTTTATCCGTCTATCTGCAGCATTTGGTGAGTTGAGCACGCGTTTTTGTTTTAGAGGAGATTTTGCTGTACAGAAGTGTCATCATCGCGATTTCTCATGAAATTTTCGCTTAAACGATAGAAGAACTGCCTATAAACACATGAGTATTTTTAAAAAACGATCGTGTAGGAATTTTTGGTTTTTAGCAGGTAGAGGCTTTACTTGGTAAGTGGTAAGTGGCTGATAAGTTTTTAGATAACTGGGTTTTCTCCTCAAGTTATTGGTTATTTTTTTGTCAAATTTAGTTTGGTTGCTAGAAAAAAGAAGAAGAAGAAGGAATTGAAGCGATAGAAGAAATGATATATGTTCAGCGAGTATAAGTGGTTAAGTGTCGAAAATGGTGTGTAGTTTCACGAATTAACTTTTTTAAGGACTAATCTGTTTCAGTGTCTGGAATGATTAGGTTTTTTTTGAGCTGTTTTGAATTTCGTTTATTGATTTATCCTATATTCTTAGCTAATTCTATTGTGAGCTTATTTCTGATTTAATGTTAATTTTCAGTAAAGGCCACAGCGTTAAATTGTAGGGACTATTTCAAATATTGGATTTTTGCCCCTAATGACGTTTTCATCGTTGTTCCGTGCTAATTGAAGTTTCTTCTAGCCAACTGAAAATCGTTACACTTTCCTGTTTTGAAGCTGCTAATTTTGAGATTAAGGTTGGGTTGTTTAGGTAGGAAAAAATTTCTTTGTTGAATTGCGTATCTGACCTTCTTGGTGTTTTCTTAAGCTAAAGGGTTATATTTTTTGATTTTTTAATTTTTTATTTTATTCCTTACTGTTTTAGAGGTTCCAACTTTTTGGGTTTTTAGCAATACAGGTTAAAATTTGGGGTACCTGAGTGGGAAACCATATAATTCTGTTGGACATATCTCGATCCTTATGAAAGTGCTTTAATGAGTTGTTTGCTTGTATGTGGGGAAGCGGGTTTGTTGATTATTTTCAACAAGCGAAATTAGCTCCTATTCAGCGATCAGTTTTGCTGTATGGTATCTGTGTATGGATGTTTTTATGACGGGCATTTATTGGTTGTGGAGTGTAAGTGGTTACTCTTATAAAAACCTTTGTTATTCACTCATTTTTCCACTGAAAACGAGGAGGGATACGGATTTATGAAACATGTTCAGGACTAGGCGTAGAAATGGAAGTAACTCCTGTTTTGCATGTAAGGTGTATTGTTAGTGATTGAGGAGCTGAGGAATCGTATTTGTTTGGTTCCTTTATTTTGTAGAGGAAAGTTTCCATTGATCACTTGAATTCAAATATTGTTTTTAAAAGATTTCGACTTTTTGGTTTAGATCAATACACTTTCTTTAAATCAATAACGTCGTAATTTGTTTTCTCACTTTAGTCTTTTTTTTTTTTGGATTACTGCATTTTTGTAGTGTGGTGTACAGTAATTGGAGTAATAGGTTTTCAGAATTTTTGATAATAGAACCAACAAAATCCTGACTTGAAGTTAGCAGAAGGAAGTCAGAGATTAGAGAGCTTGAGTTAATTTAAATTTTGCAATTATTGTACTAGCTTCTTGCCTCTGGAAAAGAACTAGAAGTTTTGGGTTTCGAACTAAAGTTTATCTTAATCTCTTGATTTGATTTTTTGTAGTTATATTTTATCTATCTTACGACGTTCGTACTACCAGGAGTTCTCAGAAATTTGCTACAAAACTTTTTTCAATTTTTAATTGTTTTAAAGGTTTTTTATTTTCATTCTGAAATAAGAAGGGGTATTATTTGTTGGGAGATTCTTGTAAAATGTTGATGACTAATCTTATTTGTTTCGTTTAATTCAAGAGTGGAATTATAGAAATAGAAATTAGCACTGGAATGAAAAGTGATACATGGAGTCTTTTGGTGGTTGAAGGGTGATAATGTTTGCATTTGCGATTTGTTTAGATTTAGTTGACATGATTTAAGTCTATTGTCTGGTGGTCTTCCTTTAGTGTAGAGGTGGTTGTAATAGAAGAAGAGGAAACTACCTTGATTTTGTCAGAAATATTTCATTTTATATTATTATTAAAGGTTAGGAGGATATGTATTATAGCTGCCTGTGGAATTTTAATATTATATAGGATTTTTTCAAATGAAACCGTAGTATAGGGCTAGAAGATTACAATTCTTGAAGTAACTTGTTTAATTTGATTTACAGTTTATTTTTCACCACTTGTAGTGGTTAGTAAATTTTATTAGAAAGATTCTTAACTTCCTTCAAAACAAACATATTTTTAATGAATTGTAGTACTTTTTTGAGTTGCACAAGGGGGTTTAGGGTCTTAAAGTATGCTAAGGAATGCCCTGGTGGAATGTTGCGATAACTATTTCCTTTTGAATACTTTTTTTCGTTGAGGTGGAGAATTATTTTATTTTACGAATTGCTTTGGTATGTTATACTTCCAAGTTAAGCATTGAATTTGGTCACGATCGGACTGATAGTCATTTTGGCATGGTCGAGTAGGAATATTTCCAGATTAACTTAAACCTAAATTCACCATGTTCTGTTCCATGTTTGTTTTCAGGAGGCACGTAAGGCTGCGAATGACACTACTCTTGCTAATGTTGCTGCCAATCTTGATCCAATTGGTAGGATTCAGATGCGCACAAGACGTACGCTTCGCGGTCATCTTGCTAAAATATATGCTATGCATTGGGCATCGGATTCACGCAACTTAGTTTCTGCATCTCAGGATGGAAAACTTATTGTATGGGATTCTTACACAACAAACAAGGTCTGTATAATTATCAATTTCTTTTCTGAAGGAAATATTTTTCAGTATGTTTGTAAGGCTTAGGCAGGTATTGTAATTTGAGGTTGAGGATAATTAATTATTGAAGAGTTTGTTAGTTATGGAAAAGTGCTGAATTTTTGGGGGTTTTGGTCATAGGAATCTAGTTCTTAGTACCATTTTGTTGATAAAGTGTTACTGCTTTTTCTTTTAAAAAAAACTTCAACTTTCTGTAGTTTCTTTACTTGCGGGACTCTGCAGCCCACAGGATTTAATGTGAAAGTATGTGAACTTTTGAAAAAAAGTTAGATTTTTTTGTTACTCATTCTGTTACTCATTTTGCGCATTTGGCTCGAAACAACTTTTTTGATCTTCATGTTTAGAATTTATTTTATAGTATGAAAATAAACCAATTTTGCACGGCTCCGTAACTGATTCAGACCTTATGAGCTGCTGGCGTATTTAGCTTGTTTTGTAGTACAGTTGTGTAGCACCGCTTTTGTGTATTTCGGACTACCAGCGAAGCAAATGAATAAAATTTATAAAATAAGGGAATTGTGATCTTGTTCAAGTTGGGCACCGCAAATTGCAGGAATTAATAACTGCAGGCCAGAAGGCAAAGTGTAAATCACTGTTTTTTTTTTAAGGCACTGAACTTTTCTGATATGACCTAGTGAAATAAAATTCCCCGGAGATGTTTTACTCCTTTTTTAAAATATTATGGTCTTTTTTTTTCTCATTTGGGCAGATACAGAAGCAAACAGGACGGCTTCTTCGTTGACATGTTTTTCAAACTCCTTTTTTAAGTACAAGTTTTCAGAAACTCTGCTTGTTTCAGCCTAACTTTTGTGGCACTGCAATATGGAAGACTTTTCGTTATGTGAATTAGTAGACTGACGTAAAGCATTGTTGACTGTGAATTTGAACTTTCATCAGAAATCTTAGCAGACTATGGCTAGTGGCTTTAGGTACATGCAATTCCGCTTCGGTCATCCTGGGTGATGACATGTGCATATGCGCCTTCAGGTTCTTATGTTGCCTGTGGTGGTTTGGATAATATTTGCAGCATATATTCTTTGAAAACTCGTGAAGGCAACGTTCGTGTTTCGCGTGAACTCCCAGGTCACACGGGTTATTTATCATGTTGCCGTTTCCTTGATGATAATCAAATCGTGACTTCTAGCGGGGACATGACCTGGTTTGTATTTTTTTTTTTTTTTTTTTGTGATTGCTTTGCTTTTGAATTTGTGTTTGTCAGCTGTGTCTGAGTGAAGTATTTCCTGTTTTTTTTTTTTGTTCAGTGCGCTATGGGACATAGAAACCGGACAGCAGTGTACGGCTTTTATGGGGCATACTGGCGACGTCATGTCGTTGTCTCTTCCACCCGACATGCGTACCTTTATATCTGGTGCCTGCGATGCATCAGCAAAACTTTGGGATATTCGTGATGGAATGTGCAAACAGACGTTTCCAGGTCATGAAAGCGATATTAATGCTGTTACAGTAAGTTTTTGAATTGAGTGATTTCTGGTATGATTAGTCATGGTACTGGTTTTATATAATTTGGTTTTCGCACACGTTGGAGAACATAACTTTTAGTATTTCCCGTCGGGATATGCATTTGCTACGGGATCCGACGACGCGACATGCCGTTTATTTGATATTCGGGCTGATCAAGAGCTTGCTATGTATTCACACGACAATATTATTTGCGGTACTTTTCTTTCTTGAAAATTTTTCTTGTTTTTCTGATGCAGTTGTTTTATTCTGATAATTTTAGGTATAACTAGTGTTGCCTTTTCTAAGTCTGGAAGACTATTATTTGCTGGTTATGACGACTTTAACTGTAATGTGTGGGATTCTATGCGACAGGAACGGGCTGGTAAGTAACATTATGATTTGTCTTGTAACTTTCGTTTGAGGGTTTATTTACCTGGCCAGAAGTTCTCAGTGAACATCTTTTTTTCGAATTATCATCAGAGGTGGTCTATTTTTCAGGCGTATTGGCCGGACATGACAACCGTGTTTCATGTTTAGGAGTCACCGATGACGGAATGGCCGTCTGCACTGGGTCGTGGGATAGTTTCTTGAAGATTTGGAATTAGGCTGTAATAACCGGGACACAGTGTACCAGTTCAAAAAACAAAAAATTTGAAAAATTCATTTTCTTTTTTTAGCAACCGGTTGCTTGGCAGGGTTGTAGTTAATTTTTCATTCGTTGTTATCAGTTTTAAATTTTTGAGGGATGTAAAGGGCTTTCTGGACCGTTTAGAAGGGTAGAGGTGTTTAAAACGTTTTTGATCAGCCGGTGGTGTTTTTAAATATACTGGGCTTTATCCTATATATGTTTGTGTCTCGTTCTTTCCAATCTTATAAAATTGGCTCATCCTCTTGTTGTGCCATTTTATGGAGTTATGTGGGCTGTGTTTCTGAAAAATTTATTTCCATCTTTAGTTTGTCCCAGTCAAACAAAGAGCAAAATCTCGAATTTTTTTCTTTGAATCGCTATCGCATTTTTTAAAGTACATTTTTCAACGCAAAATTTTTATGTTTTAATTTATACTTGATTAATGTTATTGCAACGTTTTAACTCTGGTCAAGTTTTTGAGAATAGTTGCAGACGCATGTGTCATCACTTCCCATTCGAGTTCGTGACTGTAAGCAAATCACGGAAAGGAGGCAAGTTTTGAAAGTACGGACAAGACATTTCACTTGTCGCTATTGAAGGGTGTCTTCTTGGGTTGAAAGAATGAAATTGTAGTGGGAGATGATTTGGGAAGTTCTTGTGGAACAGTGGTTTTTATGGGTTTTGGAAATCGTTTTTGCACTTCTGCCGTGAAGTTTTGCGCTTTGAAATAATTTTCCCTCTTTTTTTTTGTTCTCAGTTCTTCTGCATCAGCTTCAAACTGTATCCATTCTTTGCGTTGCGTTTTTTTCATTTTAATTGTTTTTTACGCTTCTTTCTTTAT